TTTCGGTTTTTGTTTCTGGATCTTTAGTTGCCTCTGTGATATACTTACTTGCGGCATACTATTTTGGGAGTGTACATGAGCGTGTACCATGTACGGTAGCTCATCTCTCATCGTGATGGTGGGACATAGTAGACAAATTAGAGAGAAAACAAGGAGGTATTAGTATTAGTTATATGTAAACAAACAAACCAAAAGTTAGATAATGCGGCACTGTAACTACTACTATTTTAGAGGTATGATTCGTCATGTTTAACTCAATGTTTCAATTGAGGCAAACTATCTATCTTACAATTACAAAAGCAAACCTAAACTTACAATTATATGCAAATGCAAAATGAAACTTGACAAATCATCGTCAATTCCCTTATTCCAGGGCAGGGCCTGACGATTTGAATCTAATTTTGATCATTGAACGGGCACCATATGGTACATTTTCTCACCATGAACCTATCATTTCCAGCCTATCTGAACTATTTAATAAATGGAAGCCATAACATGGGTAACGCTCCCCCTAAGCGGGCCCTCCGCATCCTGTCTCTGTCTTATCTCAAATACAAAATGCCAATGGTATGAATGTATCTATATATAACTTGGAAATGACGTACAATCAAATAAACCCGTAAGCCACTCACTTGGTCAGGCTTCAGAATCGTCCAGTGGGCAGTGCACTCTACACTCCAAGTTCCCTTTTTTCAAATTTACCGCAAATTTGATATTTTACCCATTGAGTGTTGATTAGTCACAATGAAACATTGTGACAGAAGTTGAGGTTACTAGTGTATTAAATAATCTAGGTCCTATTTAGGATTATATCTGAAAAATCCAAATCTGGCCAACGCCCACCCTAAACCTAAACCTGTTCTAATCCACCTGAAATGACTAACGAATGGAAGACTTTGACTACCCAGCCATGCAATAGTCTCATTCCGTGCCTTATGGCAACTTGATGATTCTATTGCGCTCATCTTTTGGCACCACCCAGGGGAGACTTGGTCCTGTACCCAATGCTTAACTTATCTCCATTCCACTCAGCTACTCGCAATTTCTTGTGATATAGTGGGCGGAATATTATTATATGAGACAATTCAATGCAGACGTCTTTCCAAATTTGGCAGATCGACAGGTAATCGGTGAGTTACCACGATAGTTGCTATTCAACAACTCGACAACGTCCCATCGTCAACGCCTGCTATGAGAATTTCCCATAGCAGACGCCAACGAAATGACGTCATCGAGCTATCGATCAACTACCCTGGTTATCGCCTGGTACCTTATAGCACGATGCTAGGAGGCGAACCGGAAGAATCGATGAGCTACCTCCCCCGCTACCGACGCCTACCTATTGACCCATTAACTCATAGACCGGGGACCACCGACCGAAGTAATCCCTTCCGTAGGAAGGCGTGATCAGAGATTTTATGCCTCAAAAAATCCCGGCGGCGCCGACTGTGAGATTAAACCCAGGCCTTTTGGGGTGAGAGGAAATCACGCTTACCATTGCACCACCGGCACCACTAGCTATTGCATTGGAAACGGAAATTATATTTAAATTTTAAAACTGCTATAACATTATACGGTAATGACCCGATTTTGTCAGCCCCCTTTTCGATAATCCTTTCTAATGTTCTACGAAACCCATGCGCTTTTCCAGTTGTCTTATTGCACCAAAGTATATCATAAACATCCATTTTGAAGATGAATGAGAATGATTTGGAAATACGGTTATGTAAAATCATGGAAAAATAAAAGTCTGATGCGTGAAGGGGCTGACAAAATCGGGTACTGTAGCATGCGATGGATTGGATTTTAAATATAAAAAAAAGATGTTGCATGTTTATCTTGAATTGGAAAAGAGTTCAAAACAAAAGAGGTGTTTATTTACAAAATACGAGAAAAATATTATTATGAACTAATGGAGAACGTTACATGGTTAACTATAGAAAATTGATCAAAGTTTTTAGCCGTAATCAACCAATCACGTGCTCGCTTGCTATGACTATTGAGAGAACAGAGAGACGAGCTGATTTCCGGTTGCTTTGTTCTATTCATTGACCTATTTCAGCAAAATACTGAAGAAAATGTGGGGCTTAGAATGCTAATCTTAATGCTTAAGTAAGTAAGGGAAACGTAGAAAATTTGACTGCAGTTATCGCTTCACCGCCGAATGCTGTAAAGGGGGGGGGGGGGGGGGGGTTCGTTGCGTTGTACACTGAAATCAAACAAACACCAGAGAGTGAGTCACTTTTACACATTCGAATGGAAACAATCGGAAAAGAAAATCTAAAAGCGTAACCTACGCCTTTAGAAATTTCTCCATACGAATGAGTAAAAGTGACTCACTCGTTGAGTTAGTTTTATTTCCAGTGTTTCGACTAGATAGCAGGTTGCTGTCTTTAATAAAGTTATTCAGATGAATAAGACCTATTGTATACTGGACAGCTCAGATTAGAATTCTTATATATGTCGGCGCTTATGTACTATTTGACTTCTGATTGCTTGCTTTAAATTGACTGCTCTGCTACTTAGAAGGTTTCTGTCTCTGGAAAAGTTGTTCAGATCAATACAACAAATTCCGAATTATATTGTTACGTTCCAACTGGAATTATGCATCTGCCTTTAAATTTAATTACATTTGCCATTACTTGAGAAATGGTGACTACACAAAGCACAAAACAGCAATTTGTTAATTGCCCATATTCTTGTGTTCTTTCGAACCGATGGTCACGATATACGGGAAATGGATGCGGCCTAAATGCTCCTAATTTGGGCCCATACATGAATTCAGCAATCGACTAAATTTTCAATAGCGACCAAAAAATCCATTATTGCCGTCCCAATGACGCGTTCATCTAGGTAAAATTGATAAATAGCAGATTTTTAGCGATGGGCCCAATCTTAGTTCCATAAGCCAACATTAGCACCATTTCCCCTACGAAAGAAAATAGAACAACAAAAAATAATGAAAGTTATGAAAACTATAACTATAACTAGAACTACATGTATGGAGATTAATCCATGCTATTGATATAAAGATTTGTGATGTCAGGCGCACTTTGATTTCTACAGTTGTTTTACCATGGCTAACATAAGTAATTTATTTGAGAACCGATTTTCTAATTTCAAAAATCGAATCTTAATTTTAGGATTTATTCAACAACCGCCCAAATTTCCAAACTTGGAATGATAAATTGTTTTCGAAGTTAAATCTCAAAACAATTTATTTTGTTATTAATATATTATTGGATCTTCTTCTTCTTTCCTTTATTTAACGTCGGTTTCTGTTCCGCAATCTAGTGCCAATCACCGACGGACATCGATTGCCATCCATTGACTGCAACCGAATGTGCAGGAAGGCAGCTTCCGCACCTGCGTAGGATATCGCACCCATTCAAACACACATGGGCCGGGACTTCCCTTCCGAAGGAAGACGTGACCAGAGATTTTTATGCCTCAGAAAAATCCCACCGACCTCGCCTGGGATTGAACCCAGACCCATCGGGGTGTTAGAAAGCAGTCACGCTTACCACTACACCACCGGCGCCGGCTTATATTATTGGATGGAGCAGCAACAATAATAAGTCCTACATCTACCATGCGATCGTGCTTCGGACATAGCCCTAACGTTTTTTTACCCGCGTTTCAGATCAAAACAACAGCTTATGACACATAAATTGATCTTTTCTTCAACAACATCATACCTGTAGGTTGTAGGCTGCACTCCACAGTATTAACATTTGAAACTGCCTCTTTTGTAAACAAACTTTTAAGGCCCTTTTCGCGCAAACCGAAATACGCCCACGCAAACCAAGAACACTATCGGGAGGGTATAATTTGCCGGTGTCCGATGGTGCTACTGGTTTGCATAGGCGAGCTTCGAATCGCGCGAAAGGGGCATTACAAGTGTTGACGGGAGATTTCATTACTAATACCAAAACTGGCTTAACTACCCCTGCATACAAAAAAAATGGTTGGAACTGTTATACTCCAGAATTAGTATGTTCAAAAACGACCTTCGAACATAAGTTTTTGTTTTTGCTGTTTTAACTAGCACGATATTCGTGCTAGTAAGGGAACATCCATTAAGTACGTCACACTCTAAGGGGGAAAGGGGGTTTCAAATGTGATACAATATGTGTGTATGCAAAATGGGACGAAAGGGGGGAGGAGTCAATTTGACTAAATTTCGCGTGACGTACTTAATGCATGCTCCCTAATGGTAGTAACGAAAACTCATACAAAGTTCAAAATCATGCATCAATATTTAAATCATTCAGCCAGAATGCTTCAAAGTATATGCTTGACTGAGGTTTTCGATCCAAAGCATTTCCTTGCTCTATTCATGTGAAAATAGACGTTCCGTTCGTTCGTTGGACAGGAACTCTCTCAACAAGAGTTGCATATAGTTGGGTGTGCTATTAGAGCTGTTATTTACGGTTCACTATTAGTGTTCGTCGGTTAGTTTGATTTCATAGTTACAACGTTGCGATGGTGTACAGAGCGGAGGGAAATAGTAAACTTATCAACAAAGGGAAATACTAACAATAGACAGTTCGGTTAATGGGCCGATTGATTGGTTCATTTTGAATAAATAATTTAGCCACCGCAGAGGGTGAACTGACCGGTATATACAAACGAAGAACGTGCATTAGAACCACACGATGACGACAATCGTCAGGGGGCAGTGTTTGAGACGTGTTGGTCAACAGAATTTCAGTCCGCTGAAGACGCGCGCGTAGTGCAGACACTCGTCTCAGAGATCGTGGAAGGTGGTTCAACCCAAAATGCGGTCTCACTCATGTAATGATACGTAACAGTGCTCGATTTTGTATAACGTTGTATCAAATTTTTGCTCGCTAAATTGTTTTGCAAACATGTTTTGAGGTTTTTTTTTATTAACGATAGTCGTATTTTTTTCTCCCCCTCCATGTCGTCGCTAATGCTATGTACGTGCTGATGCTGATTTCTTTGCCGCAATGTGACCCATCAACAACAACGCTTAGGTAATGTGCTGTTGGTTATGATAGCATGCTTCACAATTTTCGCGAAAAACGGGTGTAGCAGATCAGCACAGGTCGGACAACTGATGACACGCAAGCGAGCTCTTTCACCGGCATCGAAACTAGTTTCAAACGCGCTTCTAAAGATGCCCGCCAGAGAAGAGATACCTCAACATGCCGCAGGAGAAAGTGGCATCCGTTATCTGGAGGTACCGGATAAATCATTTTCAGACAAGAAGCAATACCGGTAAGTGATGGTTATAGGCAGTCAATGCGACGATGAATGACACCAAGTAATCTGTATATTCATATTTCTATTGATTTTGTTGCTAAGCTTGTCGTGTTTGGTGTATAATTTGCAAGCGCAATGCGTCAATGATGATTTAAAATTTCATGAATCGCTTTATGATGGGAAATGTGAATTTTTTGAAAACGGTAGTGCCATTAACAAAAAGTAACCAAGCATATCTTCAATTATTACGTCCCCAACTAGTGTCCTTTGAGCACTTCCATTGTTGTGAGATTTCTAAGCCTGTACCTTGTTTACATTGTGTAGTATGAGCAATGTAACACTATGCTCAGGGAAAGCGAAAAAAAAAATCAACATGAAAAATAATAATAGCTAGACAATTGAGCGAAATCCCAGTGCCAGTGAAATGATAATTGACACTAATCCTTGTGTCCACCATCGTTATCGTTTGTCTCAAAACGTACACCATACACTGAGCCAAACAAAATTAAGAATTCCAAGGCATGACTTATGACCCTTGCAAAATATATGTATACATATGACTTATGATTTTTTTTTATACCTGAGATTTTCAGTCAAAATCTGGTGCGTATGAATTCTCTAGACATGGCTATGCTGCCAGTGGACGCAATATTGTCCCATGCGTCTTGAACTTTTATATACACATGGGAAAAACATGCTTCCACCGGCAGTATGCATTCCATAAGCACGACTTTTGAATAATTATCGTGGTACGAGATACTATGAGTGGATCTTATACGCCTCTCATGCCTGCAAATCACGGAGTTACATTTAATTAATAATCTTAACGCTCAAGGTGCTTCCAATCTTCTACATTGTATAATGTTTTTATGTTTTATAAACTGACTTATGAATTTCATAAGCTGACTAAGTTTTATGTTTCATAAGTCAAACATATAATTTTCATGCCTAATGCTTGTGTCGGAAAGACATAAGTGGTTCTTATAGAATTCTTTAGTATGGTTGCCTCAGTCTACTCACGGTGCTAGAGGCACGCAACTGCCTTCGCTGGCCTGGCTGCCTGCGATCTCACGCTTCGTCCGGTCCTGGTACTGCACTTCACCACAATTCTAGGATTTTGGCTGCATCCACCCGGCGTGTACATAAACCGTTGCCGACTTTCCAAATGCAAGGTCTTGATCGGGTGATCAATGGTCAATGATGCAAATCAATGTTCACTGCGAAACACTAGCGTGCGTAGCAGGATGGTCCAACTTGCTACTCATTACTCTTAGGGGCCATCCATAAATGACAATTGACTACATATTGGGGAGGTGGACTAAACTTAAACTAAATTGGATAAAATAATATTTCTCATTCGAAAACATACAAATTTTCCAATGCATTTAACCTTTTCCCGCCAGAATGTTTTGGCATAATAAATTTAAAAAACCAGTACCTCTGGAGTGTCTTGAGATATTGGCCTAGATTTTCTTTCCGATAATAGGAGAACTAGTACACACTATGTTGCAGTAGAGCATTTCCAGCCCAACCCCTCAACCGCTTCCGATTTGAATGAAACATTGCTCACATGTTCGCTGCTATCAATAGTTGTATTTTTCATTCAAATATGATTTTTTTTCTACACAAGTAACTTTAAAAAAGCCCGTATTAAAAAAAATTACAATATTTTTTCAAAAAATCATAACATGAAAACTATTGATCTGATCAAAATGACATCTGAAAAAAGTTGTAGGTAGCTAAATTATCTTTAAGGAAAAAATACACTTAAATAAAAAACTTAGCTAATCAATATAAAAAAAACGTAAAACTTTGATTATCTTAAAACAGGGGGGGTAACTAGCTAAAAAAAATCTAATTTTTTTTTTAAATATTTAAAGTTCATGAAATTACATTTTTTATATAAATAATAATTGATTTGAGTTTTGCGCCTAATTTTCAATAAATTTACACATTATTACTTTTTTCGTTAATGCTAATTAATAATAATAGTAATAATAATTTTTTAAATTTTATACCATTTCCAAATGTTAGTCGTGATGTCCATAAACGAGATGTTTTTTCCATGGTTTCCAACAAATAATTCATTCTCAGATATGGTGAGGATTTCTTGGTCATCATCTTCCGAAAGGTCGAATATGTGTCGCTTAACACCCCATCCATGATTTTTTTTTTTTTTTTGTTTTCTGTTGAGGATAACACGCACTTCTCAGCCTCTTTGTCTTAATCGGTGATACATAGATATCCATGATGCCTTGGTTGAATGTCTCAATATTATCTATTGACAACAGAATCTGCTGAAGTCGATGAAGTCAGAGACGTAGCTGATGAGATGATATTCACAATGGATTCACTCCCGATATCTACGGGTGCTATTGAGCATACACCACTGGTAGAAGGTTGTTCCATACCTTGCTGCATTCCGTCATACGAAGGCGTTTTGTTTCCTGGCAAACGATAAACTTGAAGACGGCATCTACTACAAATTTTCAAATAATTATCCAGAAGTATTTTACAACCAAAACATTTTAATTTTTCTATAACTCCATCTGAGAAGTTTCTTGTTTCTGATTTAGGTAAAGGATTACAACATTTGAAATTGTTTTCCATGGTTAAAAAATAACTTGCTTTTTAACATGAAACGCTAAGAGAGATGAACTGAATGGAACAGGTGAAGGACTTCCCAATATAGGGGAAATGACGGCTTCGGCATCCCAACAAACAATTTGAGTTGATTAACAGCTGAATAAGCCATTTTTTAGCTGAAGAAGCTTATTTTTGCCTAAATAAGCTCTTATTAAACATTCAATGTTTGTTGGGATGACAGACTATTTTCGGAAACCCAAATTGAAACGCTAATATCACTGGATTTTCTGAAGAAAACACTTCGCTGAATGCATTCAAACTATTCTTTAGGCTTTCAGCTTCAATTTGATTATATTTGTACCGCTGAGAAAAAGCAATCTAGCAGGATTTTCTTGAAATGAAACACACGCACTATAAAATGCTGCTGATTTCGAGTTGCCGATGAAAGCACAGCTGTTTAACACGCAGCTCAAGTAGAAAGGTTACCGAATAAAAAGCGGTTGCCCACAATAGTCGATCTCACTAGAGAAGATTGGAGCATTGTAGAAGTGTTTCAAATCAGTTTTTTACAATTTCATTAGTCAGCCAAAGATCCCTTCAGATCGATCGTGTTTGTCATAGTCATAGTGGTCTTTGGTTTTTTGTTCATGATTCCGTTGAAATAAATCTGGGACTTTGAACAGTTATCTGAAGTCTATGACTTGGAAAATTGGTAACTACACTACAGATGCTAGCCTCTTCACCAACCATTCATCAGTACACACTTATATAGTCAGTAATTTTTACTGAGTTTTTGAATTGTGGAACTCTTCGATAAAATTTAGAAAATCTGTGAAAAATTTAAAGTTTAGAAAATGTGTTACGAAAATTTACAGACTTACTTCTGTTAACCCCGTGTAATGATGAAAAATAAAATTTGTCGATTTTATCCAATCTTTACAAATAACAGTCATTTGAATTTCAACCGAGTTTTTCAGTAATCAAAAAATTCTGTAAAAAAATACTGAATTCTGTAAAAAATTCTAAGTGTGTATACAGAAGTAGCGGAGCTGCACACTCCTCCATCGAAACAGCACCGCAGCTGTGCTGCGACGCTGCGAAGTGCTATGAAATAAAAGGGACATCGACTTATTACCACTACCTACTTCTCTCCCTTCCGCTCTCAGAATTCGCCAATTAACCACTTTATTCGAGCACTTAAAATGACGTTTACTACCACTCGAACTTTGAAATAAAACATTATTTTGATATTTTTTCTTCTAGAACCTCGAGAAAAGTAGCCAACATTTGTGCGTTTCTTAAAAAAATATAAATTATTTGGTCCAGTTTTGTGAAATCGCTGGTAGAAATTCACGCCAAAACTGCTTGACAAAGTTTTTTTTTTTTTAATTCTTTATTAAAGAGATTTTTAGCCTTAGGCTAGTTCATCTCTAAGCTTGACAAAGTGGTCAATTCGGTGTCACTCGTTGCGTGTTCTGCTGAGACTGAGCAATACTCGATACCGCGAAACATCTGCGCAGTTATGTTTTCTTTCGGCGCAGGAGATGTGCTTTGATCGAAAGTTAAGAATGTAGCTCAACATTTACAATAACATTCTACCAAATTTTCATGTGCGTAGTCCACTGCAACAGCCGAACGTACGAACGAATAGGGTGACTATAGCGCATTTGAAGAAAACGTCACAAGTTTTTATGGCTGTTTTAAATCAATAATTACGAAGAAACCATAAAGCCTACAAGGTTACTTCCAAAGGCACAAATCTAGGGAACTGCATGGGGAATAGTTTTGTAGAACAACTAAATTCACAGTAATGAAAATTTTCAACTTAAAAACACTAAAATGTATGACATTTCACCAGTTTTTTTTTTTTCAATATCAATGTATGACAATCAACTTTAATCGAGTTCTTTTCTAAAGAGCATTGATAGGTAAGACTTAAATATTTCATTTGGTAGGGTTTTTGATCTAATTTCCGTCCTACTAAGGACATCCCGCACTTTACGGGGGAGGTAGCTCATCGATTCTTCCGGTTCGCCTCCTAGCATCGTGCTATAAGGTACCAGGCGATAACCAGGGTAGTTGATCGATAGCTCGATGACATCATTTCGTTGGCGTCTGCAATGGGAAATTCTCATAGCAGGCGTTGACGATGGGACGTTGTCGAGTTGTTGAATAGCAACTATCGTGGTAACTCACCGATTACCTGTCGATCTGCCAAATTTGGAAAGACGTCTGCATTGAATTGTCTCATATAATAATATTCCGCCCACTATATCACAAGAAATTGCGAGTAGCTGAGTGGAATGGAGATAAGTTAAGCATTGGGTACAGGACCAAGTCTCCCCTGGGTGGTGCCAAAAGATGAGCGCAATAGAATCATCAAGTTGCCATTAGGCACGGAATGAGACTATTGCATGGCTGGGTAGTCA